ACAATGATGTACTATTTGAATATATTTTAAAATGTGATTTATTCCTATGATTGCAAGGCTGAGTTTTCAGCGTCATTATTCCAGTCTTCAGTGTCACATGATCCTTCAGGAATCATTCGAATATTTTGATTTGCAAGAGACATTAAACTGACCTTAAACTTTTTTTATTGTTAAATTAAAATGTAGCATTCAAGTATATATGTACATTATATTAATGGCTCTCCAATGTAAGTATCACCCCTTTATTTTTTATTAATGCAGTTATTGTTTCTCTCTATAGGGAGCACATAAAGGAGGTGGTTCGGCTTCTGGGACGGCTCAATGCTTTAGACCACGTGATTGTGGTTGCGTCAGAACACGGCATTAAAGATATAAAGACTCTCCTGGAGAACAAATGAAAGGCAAAGCAATGGGATGCGTTTTTGGATGAACCACACCATGTAAATACTGTGAATATTGTACATTTATTTGTGCAGCTGAAGGGTTTCCTTTGGGGACACGTTGGTGGAATCTAGTGATGTCTCTCCTTCAGTACAGTTGAAATCCAATGGAAGTGGGTTTGAAGTGCACTCTGCTGCTGTGTTAAGACTTTTGTAATCCCTTTCCTAAAGAGAGGTCACTTCTTTTTACTTCATTTTTTTTTTTTAAATGGATGGATTTTCTTAATGCATCTTTTAAATTGTCCATCACTCTGCAGTATCATTACCTACAAGAAAAGACCACTTTGCAACTCACACATGGGTTCTGTGCTCTTTCCCTTCCACAAAGACTGCACTAAAGCTGATCCCTGAGAGCAGGTTACATACTGCATATTGTAATCGTTCGAAAAATATTTATGCACAGCTATGGGTTGAATGATCCAGCATCTGCCCATCTTAAAAGCAGAGTTTGAATCGCTCATGTGCCAACCTCATCCCACTATCTTATTTTTTGTTGTTGTTTTCCTGGAACTTGAAATGTTTTATTTGCATAAATAAAGTGTTGTTAATATTGAGGATAAATTCTTTCCTTGATATACAACTGGGTTTAAAAGTATATTGGAAATTTGGGATTTAAAATATAGGCTAGTTTCTGCTTTAGTAAAAAAAAAAAAAACTAGTATAATTATGACTACACTTCACAGCTGCATTATAAAATATCACTATTGCAATTTAATTTCTTTAAAGGTATAGTTCTCATAATTGCAACTTTGTATCATGTAGTGTGACTTATTTATTGTAATTGCAACTTGTAATTATGACTTAATATCTCACAATGTCACTTTCTTATTTTTATTTTTTTCTCACAAGTACATTAATTTTTTACTCTTATAGTGGAAACAGGCTTCCATTTTAATTACACTAGTCAGTCCATATGAATGTAAAGATTTAAGCATACCATTGTTTTTACATGCAGTTAAGAGTTTGCATATAAAACACTTCATAGTTATGTCAACAGTTTCCTCAGGTGGCTATTTAGCTGTGCTTTAGCCTGAGGTACAAAGTGATATATACTCAGATGGATTCTATAGAAACATTTATTTAAACCCAAGCCAGAGAGCACAGCAGCATGTCAGTTTTTGGTTTTTATTAATATGCAACTGTTTTCTCCCCTAGCGGTTTTTCATTAGTTTTAGGGCCAGTCACTGAAGGTATGGAGGCTCCTATTGTTTCTGGCTAGGAGTCTAGCCTATAAAACCTTTGGAGGGAAATGTGGAACATTAAGAAGTGAGAGTCTAAACTTGTCTGGTCTGGTCTTGATTTCAAACCCGTTAGTGCCACCCTCTGCTCTTGAACCATGTGGTCTAGAAGCATTTTTTTTTTTTTGAATCTTGGTTCATTTTAAATCACATGCATATGGATGCCAATTTCTGCCACATAAGATAAAAACAGTCTTTATGATAAGTTAAAATTATGAGATACTAAAGGTGTGGTTACATAAATGCGGTTGACATTAAATGATGAAAAAATATGAAAAGACGTGTCGGAATTATGACTGGTCTCATAATTTTGTCGTCATACTGACTTTTCAAAATTGTGACTTTTATCTCATAATTATGACTCCTAATTAGACACTATCTCATGTTTTACTTTGGCATAATTGATTTACCAAAGCAAAATTGTTTTCTTAAGTGGAAATACATGCATACCTTATTGTGCCGGAGTAGATTTTCTGAAATTTCTAATTTTGATGAAATTCCAAACCATCCTTGAGTGTTTATGGAATCTTTACCTAATTTAGCCTAGATTATATTTATCATATTGCATGTCCGCCATTTCCCCAACAAATAATAGCCTATCAATTTTTACACCCAGGTGGTATTTGCTTTTAATATGTGACCCTGGACCACAAAACCAGTCTTAAGTCGCTGGGGTATATTTGTAGCAATAGCCAAAAAAACATTGTATGGGTCAAAATTATCGATTTTTCTTTTAAGCCACAAATCATTAGGATATTAAGTAAAGATCATGTTCCATGAAGATATTTTGTAAATTTCCTACCGTAAATATATCACAACTTAATTTTTGATTAGTAATATGCATTGCTAAGAACTTCATTTGGACAACTTAAGGCGATTTTCTCAGTATTTAGATTTTTTTGCACCCTCTGATTCCAGATATTTAAATAGTTGTATCTCGGCCAAGTATTGTCCGATCCTAACATACCATACATCAATGGAAAGCTTATTTATCAGCTTTCAGATGATGTATAAATCTCAATTTAAAAATTGACCCTTATGACTGGTTTTGTGGTCCAGGGTCACATATATTTCTGGGTTATTCCGAGTATTTGGTGCCATTTGAGTCCCCATGATATAATGTGGTATATTTTCTGTAAAAATTAGCTAATACTTGTTTCTAAATGCTCATCTTACAAAGTTACTACTCCTCTACCATAGAACACAATAAATGTGTACCCAAAATTAATTAATAAAAAAAGTATTGCACCTATTTTAGTGCAAGAAGGCTAAACTGTCATGTCCCCAAGTAAGCTTTCATAACTTCAGCCACAAATATAAGTAATAAAAATCAAATTCCAAATTGTTCAATATTGTTGAATATTCTTATTTATAATACTCCTCAACAAAATATATTTTTTGTTATTTATACATTTTTAATGCTTAAAGTCTTTAAAACATGTTGTGTCCCTGAATTGAACGTCCCCCCTGTTACTCTGATGAAAAGTCCATCTGAACACAGCCCTTGAATGTTTAATAACATGACTCTCAGGAAGTATAACACTTTTTGGTGGCAAACTATATACAAGAAGCAGAGTAAGTAACACTCTTTAATTCACCCTTTTTTTTAGTGTTTTAGAATGATTCACTGATGTGGTAAAGCATAACATGTCCACTCTGTTATGCTTATTTCTAGTGGAAACTGCTCATTTTTTTTGTAATTTTGAAAATATAGTTAATAAACAGGTTAAAAATCTTCCTCAGTGATCACTACGCACTAGCTTGTTGTTCATCAAATGAGTGGCAATGGCTGACTTTAGCATAAAATATCCCTCCTGTTACTGTCCACCCTGTTACTGTTTTGCATTATAACGGTGGACATATTGTAACATTTGATGTAAAAATGACATAAGTGTTTAATGCATGTATTGGTACTTATAGTTAATTTATTATACATTTAAAAGAAATAGTTGCTTAAACTTTTTAACATGTATACTTTATGCAAGTATTTGTCAGGAAATGGCGCTGTTGTCTGCTGCAGAAAAGCAGTGACGCTACATGGCTTGTTGTGATGCAGACCCTGAAAGAAGGCAGATATACCTCAATGAAAAGGAGAGGTGGAGAGAGGACATAAAGAAAGGAAGAAGAAAAAAAGTGTTAGAACTCAGCTTTGTTGATTAGGTAGAAACTGTAATAAATTCTCTTGATTTTGCCATTACAATGTGTGTTTGTCTCTGTGGTGTGTGTGTTTACTGGTATTCCCTGCGTTTTGGGGTCCAAATGTCCCCTCAGGAACAGTAAACTTTGATCTTGTGGGGACATTTATTTGGTTCCCATGAGGAAAAAAGCTTATAATCTATGTCATACAGAATGAAGTGTTCTGAAAACCTAAAATAGTAGTTTTGTGTTTAGAAATTCTAAAATAACTAGTTTTGTGTGAGGGGTAGATTTAGGGTAAGGGGATAGAAAATACTGTTTGTACAGTAGAAAAACCATTACGCCTATGTCATGAACCCATAACGATAGGAATACTATGTTGACATATACTGTTGTTCAGTGGTGTAATGTCCACCCTGTTATGTCCTGTCTACCCTGTTTGCCCTCTGTCCACCCTGTTACCTCTGTGTTTTTTTTTATATTAATAAAATAAGTACTACAAATGTTATGTATATCTTTCTGGTTACTTGTAGGGAATTAAATGGTAAAATTAAATCATTTAGAATGGTGCCGAAATTCTATTGAAATGTCTTTTTATTCTAAAATGTGCTGAAATAAAACTGCCTTAAAATACAACCTTTTTCAAGAGTTACTGATTATGAACACTGTTGAAATACATTTGCAGTGTAAAGAGAGGGAAATTTTAGCTCTTGGAAAATGTAAATATTACAATAACTGCATTCAAAACACTTGAGATGTAATTGAGATGAGATTGTCCTGTAACAGGGTGGACATTTAGCCCTTGCACGTGTTAAAAAATATTAAAGAATAATATCCTGAGCTGGACCGATATATTTGTCTCATAGTTTAACATGTCCTTCTTCAGATTAAATGATTACATCATGGAAATGTAAACATTTTTTGATAGAAAGTTACCAAGCTGAAATGGCACCCAATAGCAAGAATGACCCTTCTCTGGATTGAATCATTTTTGGATCAAGGTTTTATTTTAGGCTACAACTTCCTCTTCCTTCCGTAAATTATTATGTTGATTGTATTTGATTTAAAAACTTTATTTTTGTTGCTTTGAAGATGTAAACCTAAATTTGACTCTTTGCATGCCAGTTTCTCTCAGCTAATAGTAAAAGTCGGGAGGAGCATGTACAAAACCATGATCCATGTAGCCTACCTTACACGTCGCAAATGACCCCACACACTCACACACCACCTGTCAGGAGACTCCGAGCCCACATAACCACAGACAGCCTGAGCTGGAGGACACACACAATCTGAGGGAAGTTTTCCTGCAACACAACAAGTATCAGTGGATCCGGTCTGCTCTGCTCTGAGACCAGCTGCAAGGTAAGACCAACATCTGTTACAGTCAACCCGGTTGCTTTCTCATCTACGGCGTTTTCCAAAACGTCCATCAGTTAATATAGGCTACTCTTACTTTAGTTATTGTTGCAAATCAATCAATGTGAAACTGGTGGTTAAGTTCACTGCAGCGCTCCGTTATTGGGGCAGGAAAACGTGGGACGAGACGCACGGGGTCTCCTGCCTTGTAATGTGGTCTATCCTGCAGGGGAAAAGAGGGGTAGCTGCGGACATTAAAATGTTTTGAGGTTTATGAAAACTGCCGCTGCTTAAGCCTGTGGTTTGGTGTGAGACGCTCGCCTGCAACTTCGTTGTTTAGTGAGCGTTCTGGTTTAGTCGCGTCGAGCGCGTGCAGTATGAATGTGGCGTTATGCGCGTTTAATGGTAATTTATTTTGACCATTATTATTTTGTCGTTGCGCATGTCGTCTGCTTTTTTCTACCAGTTTATTCATTTTTTTATTTACTTATTTAAAAAAAAAATCGTAGCAATATTCATCTGTACAGTAAAATACCAAAGAAACAAAATAAACTAGAAATTAATTTTAATGCGTTAGGTACGCACGTTCGTAAATGTAAATAATGAAACGGTACATTTGCAAATAAAAACAAAATAGACTTTAAATGTGATAAAGTAATAAAAAATTAACAGAATACATTAGAAAATATCATTGTTATGCTTAGCATTAGGCCACAGGTTAAATAATGCAATGATTTTAAATGGTCTGCAGATAAATATTTTTCTATTTATAAGTAAGCTGGAGTCTCTTCTTCTAGTAAGAGTAAACTGATCTAAAAGAGAGAGCCGTGTTATCTCATGCCTTAAGAGTTGCAATAGCTTGTCTAAATTCATTTATTACTAGTAGTATCAGAATGATTTTTTTTAAAACAGACAGTCACTAAGTTTCTAATGTTGTTCAGTTCGTAAAAATTAAGTCTGAGGGACATATACCTTTTTTACAGTGCTGAAAATAATATAATATTACAATATAATTTTAAATGATTACATACTTTATTATATTATAAATGTTAATAAAGTTTTTTTTTTTAATTGCAATCATGGAAAACCTTGTTCCATCAACACTAACTAACACATGTCATACCATGGTCCATGAGCTCTATTTATATGTAAACAATGCAAAGTCGCTGCCACTAGGAGAAGTTTTCTGTTGAATGGGGCCAGTAGGGTGTCTTTATTTACTACAGTTGAGTCACTGTATGTGAAATGTCCCTTCCTTAGACCAGATGCTTTATCTTTTAATGCTCCACACTGTTTCAGTAAATCCGCTGATAGCTGCTTGTAGGTCAGAGGAATTTTGTTTTATGATTTTTGTTTAACTGCAGAATGGCTGTAGAATGTTTCCATATTATATAGATGACAGTCAAGGGCATCATACAAAACAGCTCTGATCTTTGACCATTTACACTTTTATTTATTGTTTTTTTATGCTATAAATAGAGATACTACCCTAAAATATTTACACATGTGGGTGTGTGTCTGTCAATGAATCCCAAACTCAGTGTTGTTGACCCTTATAATATTATTACAGTCCTGGAAATACTTTTTTTTGTGATGGCGCAATGTGAAGTTGAACATAACACCTAGAATTCTACTTTTTTTTTTTTCCAAACCCAAATTAATCAGGGTGAAAAAAACAGTTTCAAAGCAGTTTAATTTTATTTCATGAGATTTACTGGATCATGATAAAAATAGTAGGAAATAGTAGGAAGTTCATCCTGCAGGTCTGTGTTGTGTAAACTGATTATTTTGCACGTTTCTCATAATTGGTCACATGCATATATCTACATCCCCATCACATAGCATGCTACCTGACACCCCACATATGAGACGTGCTAAAAACAAGCCTCAACACATCTCTGAGTGGTGGCCTAGTGGTTTAGAACCTGGGCTGCTGTCATAAAGGTTGCAGGTTGAGTCCCAGACGTAATTAAAAATGAATGTGAGTGATTAACTCGCCATCAGCCAATTAGAGTGTCTGTCAGCAAGCGTGTGTAACTTTAGATCCATTAGAGGCATTAAAATGCATAAGAAATGGTTATAAACTAACCATTAGATTGTCAACGTTTATGTCAATGTTGATGTTAGACTGATAAATCTGTGGAAAAGGCATTCATCTGAAATGGATTAAAATTCTCAGAGGCACCCCTTTGACGCAATTGCAGTGTCTAAATAGCAAGAAATTATATCGCAGTTTCAAGATCTGAACCACAAATACAATAAATAAAATTGCATTTACGCAAATGAATGTGTTTTGTATAAAGCATTGCAATAAGGTGTTCAGATGTTGTTATTGCTGAGGAGGGACCAGGAACAAATAACATTCATTATTTCTTAATTTATGTGAGCTTGTGCTGACAGACACTGGCACACATTCAAGCACTGTTCCTCTATATCAGTTTTAGTAACTTGGTTTTGGGTGTTGCGCAATAGCGGGCCTCTTATTTTTGAGACCCCAGGCAGTCAAAATTAGTATCACCATCCAATTTTTGATTAATTATCAGTAATGCATGCATTAATTTCCTTAAAATTTACAAGGTACAGTGATTTAGCTTTTTAATACATTTTTTTGAATAATTAACTTTGCCATTTATTTAATTTACTAAACGATTTCACTTACACATTTATTTATTCCATAAACCATTTTGATTTTGTCAATGTTAAATCTAGTCATTAACATTGCCAATTCATGGTGTTAGACTGAAAAGTGAACATAGCTGAATAAGAGAAAGTTTGACAACAAAAATGTCATATTGACTGGTTTTTGTGCAATGATTATTAGGTCAAAAGTGCAATTATTTTATTTTATTTTATTTGTGTGTCCGTCCTCTTCAACCTATGATTTAGAGTATCTTGCATGTCTCTTTAGTGGGAAGGTCAATGCAGTGTCACTGATTGAGAACTTGTTTGGCTCCCAATGACAGAAAGCTGAGACTCTGTCCACTTTGGCTACCCTCCTGTCTCATGTGTATCGTCCTTTTGAAATTATCATGCGTCTTTGTCTGGAGGAAGACACACTGATTGAATTGTTTTAAACCGTTGAGTGAAGCTTCTTCGTGTTGCCGGTGTAAACAACTAAGGCATAAGACGTTAAGATGTACTTCCTGGTCAGGTATAAACTGGGTCCTGCAAGCCTACGTGCGTCCATTTATAAAGCATGTTTTCTTATAATATTGAGTTACTCAAGTGAAAGAGTCTTGTGGTATCTTGACACGCTTGTGGATTTGTTCATAACTGAACTTGTTTTCGTTTTCTTAGAGAGGTCAGACAGAGGGAGTTTTGTCAGACCGTCGGCTGGTTGCAAGCATGTCCTAAATGAGTTTTTAGACATTCCTGCCAAAAACCAAAACTGAAGAATGTTTGTCATATACATTCCAACATAAAATCACAGTCACAAGTTTCTAGGCAAAGGGTAGTCGGATGGTGCCAGGTACATTGTGCCCACTCTAAACACGCTCATATGACTGGATAGACGTTGGCAAAAACACGTCAACAAAACATGAGTCTGTTTTCTTTCTGGATGGACACTGTGCCCTTGACCCTGTTTCCTTTCTCACTGTTTCTAGAAGGGGCTTGTGGTTGTTATGATACACTAAACGTTTGTGACGTCGGTACTCAAGCCCGTATTGATGCTAGCGTAAGATCTTGTAGATAATACAGTAATAAGATTTTCTGACTTTATTGAAGTACTGATGTGGTTTAAAGCAAATTAAAAAGGCACAAGCGTCCCAAGGCCAAAATTTCACAGCACTGCGCTGCACGTTGAATACCATAACAGAAAGTCGCCTACTTATTGGTGCCCTGGCAACACACCCCTGCTCAACCCACCTGCTTAATTTAGTCCGATAAATTGCATGTATGTGTCTATGATCACCTCACCGGTTCTGACTGAGCTGGAATGTCAATCGATGGCACTGTTAACCTTAGCCAACCCTGCTGTCAGATGAAGCTATCAGGATTTATTTAGATGTGATTTTCCATTCTGTTTCCTGCAGACTGAGTGCTGCAAACACACATGACTGTCATGTGGATGATGCAGTTCAAGAAGAATGTTAATGGAGATCTTGGTTGTGTTTTATTTAAATTTGAATTTTGTCTCAGATGTTTCTCTTGAAATCCATGGGAGAAATAAAAGCTTTTGAACAAAAAGATTTGTTTCCTTGGTTTATTAAAGGGTTAGTTCACTCAAAAATGAAATTCTGTCATTAATTACTCACCCTCATGTCGTTCCAAACCCATAAGACCTTCGTTCATCTTCGGAACACAAATTAAGATATTTTTGATTAAATCTGAGAGCCATTTTGTTACCGTCTTCCGCCATTTTGGAGAGTACCCCAAAACTTAATCGGCGTTGTTTACATTCAGCATGTGCGCGCTTTCTACTGAATGTAAACAATGCTGATTACATTGATTACGTTCTGGGGTACTCTCCAAAATGGCGGAAGACGGTAACTCGAGGAAAAGAATTGTTAAATAAATTATGTTATTATTGTTTTCTTTGCACACAAAAAGTATTCTCTTAGCTTCATAAAATTACAGTTGAACCCCTGATGTCACATGGACTATTTTACCGATGTCCTTGCTGTATACGTTTCTGTGCGTTGATCGTGATAGTATCCTTGCTGTCTATGGATGGATCAGAGAGCTCTCAGATTTCATCAGAAATATCTTAATTTGTGTTTCGAAGATAAACGAAGGTCTTACGGGTTTTGAACAACATGAGGGTGAGTAATCAATGACAGAATTTAAATTTTTTGGTTGAACTAACCCTTTAACTATCAACATGATCCACTGACAACCACATTATGTCAAAATTTGCATTGTGATTATATTTACAGTAGACTTTGAGAGACATTTTTTAACAGATTGAAGTATCAGAATACTTTTCGGTGGCGCTGTATTTGAGAATAATAACAGAATTTTCATTTTTGGGTGAACTAACCCTTTAATTCGCTTCCCTTATTTTAGTTAAATGCAGTTTTCTCCATGTGCTCTCTCTCTCAAAAAAATTGAGGTAGCCTATTAGAGATCTTATTATGAGATGTTTGTGAGTAAAACACCTCAGTTTCATGATGTAATGGAGTATCTGTAACATAAATTGTTTACAGTTGTGGTGTTGGTCTTTATGTGAGACATCTTGAAATCGTATAAATCTCTTCCAAAATACCTTCATAGCATTTGTGGTCTTTCAGCATTCCTACAGCATGGCATAGACATAGAGGCAGACCTTTCAACATGTCTGATGTCACACCAGTAGAGCAGTTTAGACCAGCTCACTCAGGGAATGCTGGGTATCTGAATGAGGTCCAACTGGACAGCAGACCCTCAGGAACGGCTTGTGCTCGGATTACACTGATTCACCTCAGGACAGAAACTAGGAA